CTGCCTGTGGACCAGTGAACCTGTGTGCAAGCAGGCCCCTGAAGGCCTCCCATCCCAGGGTAAGTAGTCAAACACATGCAACACTTGTTTAAAGTGTAACTTAAGGCAGGGCGAGTGGCCAACACCTGTAATCCTAACAGTTTGGGAGGCTGAGGTGGGAGAATCACTTGAGGTCAGGAGTTCGAGACCAGCCTGGGCAGCATAATGAGACCCCATCTTAAAAAAAAAAAAAAGCCAGGTATGGTGGTGCACCTGTCGTTCTAGCTACTCAGGAGGCTGAAGTGGGAGAGTAACTTGAGCCCAGGAGACTGAGGCTTCTGTGAGCTGTGATCACAACACTGCACTCCAACCTGGGCCATACAGTGAGACCCCATATCTAAAAATAAATAAGTACAAATGTAAATTCAAGATAATGGGATTTCAGACTCTTTCCCTTAAAGCAATGCACTGCAGGAGGCAGAGCCCCATGATCCTGAACAGGTCCCTGCTCTCCCGGGGCCTGGGCTTCCCCAGGTGGGTGCTGGGCAGCCATCTGGGTGACTTCTCCAGCCTGGCTATTGGGAAGCAGCTGGAGCATGATGGGAGGGAAATAACTGTGAGTGCCTGGAAATCCAGAGGGGTGGGACCCAGGGTGGGGAGGGGGAGGTGAAGGAGGCAGAAGACCCTCCTCCCTGGCTAGTCCTGAGCCTGTGGTTGGAGGCCTCTGCCTGCTGTCTGTCCCCTGCCCAACCAAGGCCCTCCGCATTCCCCTGCTCTGAGAACCCAGACTGGCTCCCCACTCCCGCCAATGCCCGGGTTATGTTCACCCAGGCGGGAGTGGAAGAGTCATAAAGAAGCCCCCAGCTCCTACAGCAAGTTTGCTCCCAGCAACACAATGTGCAGGCCTGGAGGCAGGCAAGACCCAGGCACATGCACAGCCTGGCTACTTCAAGCTGAGGGGCATCAAGCAATGCCTGTGCTTCTGTTTCCTCTTCCTTGAAATAGATACACATGCCTCCCTTGCGAGGTGTCATCATCAGCCCGGTGGCCCCATACCATCGACCCTCTCACAGGTAAGTCCCTGGCTCACCATGAGTTGAGGTGATCTAGGGGGTCACAGCCAATTACGCTGGAAGAACCACTTACCCTAGACTCCCTAAACTCCCCATGGGCACCATTCTCGCCTCCTCAGGGACCCCACTGCAGCCTCCTCAATGGGACCTGCCTCCAGCACCTCCATCTCCCGCCTGCTGCCAGAGGAACACTCCAAATGCAGAGCCACGTCCCTGCCAGTCCCTGGGCCTCCCCCACCTCAGCTCTGATCACTTGGTGCTCTCATTGACTGCTTGTCACCTCCCCACCAGCCCTCTGGGTGGGGATCCTGTCTTATTCACCTAGGCAATTCCAGAGCCCCGTGCAGGGCCTGGCATGGGAGTCCTGCCCAGAGACAGCAGCCTTGGTAGACGGATGGAAAAACAGGGCCATTTACCCCTTCTACCCTGGCAGGCACCTGCTGCTCAACTGGCATATCCATAACAAAGCTGAGTTCAGTGTGGGGCCAGGGTTGGGGGTCTGTGTAGGACCAGGATCAAGGTTCAGTCTGTTCAGGATCAGGGTTCAGTGTGAGGCTGGGATCAAGGCTCAGTGTGTAGTGGAGGTCAGGGCTCATCACAGAATCAGGATCAAGGTTCCATCTGTCCAGGACCAGGGCTTAGTGTGGGGCTGGGGTCCGGTCTTAATGAGGAACATTTTCTGTCCCCCACTGCAAAAAGCCCAGGACTCTCTACCACCTTACCCGTGGCTTTGAAAAGAACACAGCCTGCCCCCTGTCTCCTGAGCCTGTCAGGGCCTGTCTCCTGAGCTCCTGCTGAGCCTGCCTTCTACCTGGGCTGGTCCTGTGGTCCATTCCAGGCAGCTGTGCTGGGATGCCCAGATTCCTTCTGCCCTAACAAAAGTGGCTCAGGCAGGGAAGCTCCTCCTTGCCTTCCCACGTGGCCTTCAAAAGCACAGCAAGGGCAGTCAACCTTTTAGCGTGAATGCCAGAGTGAAAAAGTGCTTTGTGGTTTACGTCAGATTTCCCAGTTATCCAACCTCTGCCCCATCCTGTTTGCCCAGGTGATCCAGTGCCAATGGAGGTAAACCCAGGTCTGGCTGAATATGAAGGTGAAGGTGTTGGCTGGCACGTGCCTGGGTATTGAGGTGCACAACCCCAAATACCTCCTCCCATCACAGGGCCTGAAATCCCTTTTTTCCAGAAGAAGGAAGCAGAACAATGCCAGTCCTGACACTTGGAGGGCAGAGTGGGCACTATACTGGGGCCACTGTCATCCATCAGGCTACTGTTTATCCTTGTGGACAGGCTCGACCCCGCAGCTCCTTGCTTTTTTAAGCCATGCTTGTAGATGGTCCTGTCTGAACCCTCCATCCCTGTTCAGTTTTCAGCTCTCTGAGGGCATGGGCTGCTGGATCCCTGGCCCTGAGTGACCAGGCCTGCTCACTTACAAACCTCAGAAACGGGGGCCAATTCAGAGACTGGCCTGGGTGGGCATCCGAGCTAGGCTTGCCTCTGAAGATGACAGGATCAGGGCAGGAGGTGGCACCTGCCCCTGAGACCCCTGCTCACCCAGCCAAGCCCCCCTGCTGTCTCTGTTACTCTCAAGCAGAGGGTCAAGTTGGTCTGCTGGTAAGACACATGGCTCTCATTTTAATTAATTAAAGAAAAATCTAATCACTGCATTAAACTTCTCATTACTCCACTTGAATACCCGTTAAGTAAATTTAATTACCAGAGGATTGGGTTTCCCAGCCTCTTTCATTAGCTTCTGATAAGATGGTGAGGAGGAGGGGAGAGGGCAGCAGTGGCAGAACAATGCCAGTCCTGGCCCTGGGAGGGCAGAGTGGGCACGGTACTGGGGCCACCACCAGTAGGCTTCAGTGTTCCTTAGGGACAGGATCAACCCCAGGCCTGGGGGAGACCCCTGCCTGAGCTGCCCCTAGGGAAGCAAGGGCCTAGCATTTGGCTGCAGTCAGCAGCGAATGCTTGGTTTCCCACCACTGCTGGTTACTTATACCCCACCTCCCTCCAAAAGAATTGGAGGCTGCTGAGAACAACAGAGGCAGTACCTGCTGCAAAACAAAGGGAGACGTCAGGACAAGGAAAAATGAGAGCGAAGAGGCCAGAGACAACAAGGTGATTAGGTAACCGCATGCCACAGCATCCTGGGCACGTATCAGAAATGGGCCACAAACCGGCTGTGAGCTTCCTGGTGGTCAAGACAAAGAAAGCACTGCACTTTGGTGCTGATGCAGTGACCAGCAGAGTACTCAGGAGGAAACGCCCACTGGGCCTTGGTCTTTCACCTGTGAAAAGGGTGGAGCTGGAAGATGGACTAATGCAGAAAACCGCTGGTCAGAGCCATCAGAAGAGGCTTCCTGAAGAAGAAGGGACCTGAACTGGGCGTTGAAAAGCAGGAAAGGGCCGAGAGTGAGGAATGGCATACTAGGCACAGGGAGCTGCAGGCTAAGGTCCAGAGGAGAGACCAGGAATTACTAGAGGAGAAGCAGCAGGGGCGGAGGGCCAGTGCACAGCCTGGGTGTGGAAGAGCTTTCTTCAAAGGAGGAGCTGAGGGTCCATCCCATCCCCAGCACCCAGGTTGGCAGCCAGTCCCCTACGGTAGAAGGTGTCGGCACTCTGGGGCAGGAGGAGCAAAAGCCAGAGGAGATGACACACTTGGGAAGTCCAGATCCGGCCAGGCTGGGACACAGGCTCTGCCTCCCTGCACTAAAGGCTGGCTGCCTAGACGTCCTTGATGGCTGGCGCACCACGCACCACCCTGTCCCACAGATGCCCAGAGATGGCTCATAGGCAATGACTGATTAACACAGGGGACCTAAAGCCCGACGTCCTTGTAGGGGTGGGAAGGGTAATTCTGTGGCGTGAATTAGGCTCCAGGGTCCCCTGGACCAGCCCAAAGCCCAGCTTTGCCTGGGCTGTCATTCCTACCCCAATCTCTCTTCTTCTTCCCTTCTCCCGAGGCCCTGATCTCCATATAGCTCATGTACACAAATCTGCATCTCAGGCTCTGCCTCTAAGGACTGATCAATGATACGCCTCAGCAGCTCCTCCCAAGTTTATAAAAACAAACAAACATTCCCAAACCAGCAACGTCCCAAACTTCCTGGAGAGGGAAGCAGGAAGGGGAAGGGAATGAGGATTTACTGAGAACCTGCTAGATGTCAGTGCTTTCTATGTGTCATCTCAGGTAGTTCGCTCAGCATCCCTGCCAGGTGAAGTTCATTATCAGGTGAGGAAACTGAGGCATAGATTTGTCCAAGAGCACACAGCACGTCTAGGACACCATCTAGAATAATTACTTGTTATATGGCTTCCCTAGTCGGGGAGGGGTCTCCCTTCTCCTGTCAGCCGAATCCAAAGATTCCTTTGGGAAACACTCACCCCTTATTCCTGGTCACATGGTTGGGGAAGGACAACCCTGACCCCCAGCCCATCAGTGTTTCTAAGTCCTGTGGACCCAGTTAAAATTTCAGGATGAGCCAAGTCCTGCCAATAGGACCCAGAGATCAACTTGGGGACTTGGATTTGTTCTATTAAGGATGACTTTGTCTCCACCCCCAACCCTAGATCTAAGAAGCATGTTACCCCAGAAACTGCTGTCAGGCATATTTTGACCATGCCATGCCAAACGCCACTAAGCATGGAGCCACCACCAAGAAGAGGAATGAAGGGATACAGACAAAACCAAGCTCCTGCTTGCACTGACTGAACCACTGGATCAAGCCCTCCCTGAAGCCCATATTACCACCAAACACGTTGGTTACATGAGCTGATAACTTCATTTTAATGAAGTAGGGTTTGTTTTCGTTTTTGTTCTTTGCTACTTACAATCAAAGGGACCCTGACAGATACAGCGTACAGAAAGATTTCCATTTTGTTCTGAAGACCAAGAAGGCTTGGATATCCCCAGGAGCCAGGGAACAGGTACAGTGGGGATGCCACCTACCGTGACTGCTGCTGTGTCCCGCTGGGTCCCAAAGCTTGCGGAGTCCCTTCGGCCCAGGTCGGGGTCAGGAGTAGGCTTGGGAGCTGGTCCAGGATCTGGATAGTCAGAGCCCTGGAGATGCAGGCTGAAGGCTGGGTAGCCCCACAGGCTCAAGGTAGCCAGATCATGGTCATAAGATCCCTAGAAAAGAGGAGAAACAAGAGTGAGTGGTAGGGTTCACAAGGGCCCGAGGGGTACAGGAGGAAGGGCAGATGGTGGCCACACCTTGGTGAAGGTGAGACCAAAGGAAGAACCCTGGAAGTATCTCTAGACCAGCATTGTTCAGCGGAACTTTCTGTCACAACGAAAATGTTCTGCCTCTGCACTGTTCAATATGGCAGCCAGCAGTCACATGTGGATACTGCAGTGTGCATAGTGTGATAAAAAGCTGATTTTTAATTTTGTTTTATTTTAATTAATTTACATTCAAATCTACATAGCCACATGTAACTGATGGCTACCACGCTGGACAATACAACTCCCCGTCAAACTTGCCTACCTCCTGGCCACAGTACCTGGGAAAACCTGAGGTCCAGAGAGGAGAAGGGACTTGCCCGGGGTCACACAGTGAGAGGGTGACAAAGCCAAACCCAGTCCTCCAGCTCCTAGCCCCGGTCCTCCTCGGTACCCACTGCCCTTCCCACCTCGGCTTTGTGTCTTCCCATCATGCTCATCGCTAGCAGAGTGTCCTGCTGCCTTGAAACCCATGCTGCCTCCCTGGGAAGCCATGTCCCTGGGGAAGGGTATCAGGCCACCCTTGAAGGGACCTATCTCCTTCAGTTACTACCACTGGACCCTCCCTTAGCCCCCCTAGCAAAGCAGCCCCAGTGAACCTCCTGGGATTGTCCAGGAAAACTGCACTCAGAGGGGAAGCCTCTTGGGCACAGAGCAGTTCCCCACAGGGTTATTTATGCCAGCAAGACACTGCAGGCTGTCTAAACACTCCACAACAGAGATGATGGAGTGACTCACGGCACCCCTGCCAAGAGCGTAGTATACAACCGTTAAAAAGGATCAACGCAGAGACAGGCAGTGGCACCATGTTTCCATGATAATAATGAGGTGGGAAGCTGAGAAAATGGGTGCAGGTGGAGGCTGGGTTGTGGGGTGTACGAGGCTCCCACTCACTGAGCCCGGTCATCATCCCCGCCCACGTGGCATCGTGGGGTTCAGATTACAGACCCAGTTTACAGGTGGAGGAGCCGAAGCTTAGAAAACCAAGCACACATGAGCTCCTGGCTCCATGGGGAGTGTGGGCAGAGCTGGACTTGAACCCTTGACTTCTGATGCCAAAGACAGACTTCTATGGCTGCCCACTGTGCAACGATGGCAGCATTACGCTGCCCTTTCTTCTTACTTACTCATCTTACATAAACACGTATGCACATCACACTTATTAAGTGCCAGGAACCTTCCTCAGTACTTGACAAATTAAAAAGTTAACTCATGAAATCTGCACTGGGTGAAGGAGCAATTATTACCTCTATTGTTTGGATGAGGACACTGAGGCACAGAAAGATTAAGTAACCTGGGGCTACTTCTATTTCCCAAATATTCCGCAAGCCTCTAGTACTGGCATCAAAGGGAAAAGATGAGGGCGGGGCGTGGGGTGGGGGGGAGAGTGGCTGTTGCCCTGGAGGAGGGGAAACAGGGATGGAGAGTTTTTCTCCTTTTTAATTTCATGGCAATTCTTTTTTATAGCAACTGAATGAAAAAAGTTCAAGAAGTAAAATACATGTAGCAAGGAAAAGGTTTTGAAAACAACAGGCTCACAAACAAAAACTAAAACTTATCAAACTGAAGTCACGGATGCATCCAGGAGACCACGAATGTAATACACCTCCCAGCAGCAAAGCTCCTGTCCCCAGGCTTTTCTGCCAATTTCCTGACCTGGGTCCACTCCCTCCTGCCTGGGTGAGATCCTCACCTCCGAGGGCAGCAGGGAGCAGCCCTGTGTGGAGGTAAACTTCAATCAACACCTCCTGGCTCCCTCGCGGCTCTAGGGCCCCGGCTGCCTGCAGGACACCATGGTATCCAGGCCTCTGCCTCTAGCCCCAGGCAGCCCCATTCCACAGGTGGAGCAACGGAGGCCCAAAAGACAAAAGACTTCACCAGAGGTCACAATGCTACTGAACACGAAAGGCCTGTGTGTGTGTGTGTGTGTGTGCGCGCGCACGCGCACGTGCTTGTGAGTGTGCATGAACATGGCCTATAGGGGCACGTGTCTCCCATGCATACAGTGCTTCAGGCCCAGGTGACTAAAAGGGCAGGTGATTCCCAGCTTACACACCCACGTGCACACGTGCATACACACGCACGCACAAAACTGTCATATCATTAACTGCTACTACAGCCACGATGGCATCATCTGCTATTTCTTCTTGTTTCCTGTGGTATTTTTCATTCATGCATCAAATACTAATAGCACTTACTATGTGCCGGGTATACTGTAGGGGCTAGGATTCACGTACAACACAGACAAGTTTGGTGCTCTCATGGGGACAGGGGATACCGATGATAAGCAGATACATAAACAAGATAATTCCAAAGACTGACAGGTAATAATGATCATAAAATATGGTAATGTGAAAGAGAAGACCTGAGCTGGGGCTGGTGGGTCACTCAAGCTACAGGGGCAAAGAAGGCCTTTCTGAAGCAGTCTCACTGGCATTTATTCTGCGGGAAATGAAGGTGCAGCAGGAGGCTGGGGCTCTGAGGGCTAGCGTAAGGGCTTTGGATTCCATCCCAAATGCAATGAAAAGTAACTGGAGGTTTTTAACCAGGGAAGTGCTATGATGTTTTCTTCTTTGTTAACAGTTCTCTCGCGCTTCCAAGTGGAGACTGAACTCAAGAGAGAAGGCCTGGGGCAGATGAGTTGGATGTGAGGGGGTGGGGGTAAGAAAAGGAGAGGAATGAAAGAAGACTCCTAGAGCTTCTATGAGACAGGGAGTGCCTTTACAACCAGACTCCACCCCCTTAAAGGAGCCTTGGGGGCCTGATCAGGACTTCCGGTCTCTGATGAAGAGAACTGGCATGCATGTGTCCTAGGAGAAAAGAATCCAGGGACACAGATCTCTGCTCAGCATGAGAAGCGGTGAGCTCCCTGTCCCTGGAGGTATGCAAGCAGCGGTCTGGGGACCATGTGTGTGGCGTGGGCATTTGCACTCAACAGGGCGGTTGACTTCTGCCATGAGTGTCTTAATTCTGTCAATACATGAATCAGGGCTAGATTGTGTGGCTTGAAGTAGGTGTTACAGAGACTCAGGGGAAGCAAGGCAATGTCCAGCATAATAGTTAGTATTATTAGGACATTACACAACACAGAATGCTCCCACTGATTCTCCACCTGGATCTGCAGCCCACGCTGTGAGGAATATAGGGCAGCATGATCAGCCCCACTTAGCAGATGAGGAAACAGGCCCAGAGAGGGAGTGGGATCAGCCTAGGTTCCACAGCACATCAGCCTCGGATCCTCTGCGGCCTCACACCTAAGGACCTTCTCCCCCCTCATCCCCAGTAGTCACCCCACCACCCCTGCCCTGGAAGATGCAGGAATCTTCCCACTCCACGTGGGCTTCCATTCAGCTGCCAAGACTCCCATTCCTGCAGGTTAGAGGCACTCTTTGCTCTCTGCCCTGAAACTTGAGAGGGAGGTCTCCGCCTAGAAGATTTCTCCTCCTTGATACACAGGGCCTGATTCTCCACTCTGTCCCCTTTACCCCTGGTGGTTTTGCCACAGCCCCTTAAGTTAGTTCCTTCAAATCAGACCAGTACCACACACTAGGTTTTGCCTAGAAATGAAGTAAAGTAGGGTCCTTCCCACAAGGCGCCTTTCTTCCCTAACACTTAACGGCTGCTGTGGGCCAGGGGCAACCAGAGACCCCCCCGACCACCTTCCCCTTTCCCACCAGACAGGCAGAGAGGTCATCTGGGCAGATAGGAGCATCAGGATGTGCGGTCTCCCCAGGGGGACTGGGATTGCAGGTAGGGAAGCTGCCACCCACTGGCACAGCATACACTGAACATTGCCCTGACAGACCTCAGGATAATCTTGAGGGCCAAGTGGGAGCAACTCACTTTTCAGGTGAGGCAGTGAAAGCTTGGAGAGATTAAGGAACTTGTCCAAATTCAAAATATTAAATGGAAAGAAATAGCTGGTAAGTGCTGGAGCCAGAATTTGAACCCAGTGCTCACTGGTTCTCAAGATCTGATGTCACCCCCTGTTCCCTGTTGCCTCTTGGAAGTGCCAGGCAGTTTGAACAGACAGTCCGGTGAGCAGATGGGGTGGGCAGGGGGAGGCAGAGAGAGGCGGTGGTGGCGGCGGTGGGGTGGGGGAGAAGGGGAGACAAAGAAAGGACAGAGCAGTGGAGATGGAGACGCTGAATCGACAAGAAAACCTGCGGGGGCCAGAGAAGCAGCCCTGGAAGCCACCCTCCTGATCAGTGCAGGGCCTGCAAGGCCACCCTGGTGCCAACTGCCCCTCAGATCTAGCCACTAGTGTTCCCTGGGCTCATCCCCATGTGCTCAGGCCCAAGGAGCCCCCCAATCATTGACAGTGCTCCCCAGTCATTAAAGGCACCTCCCATGCATTGAAGGGCCCAGGTCAGGCCCCTGTGGGCCAGCTCTGGGGCAGGGAGATGGGTGGAGGGAGTAGAGGGAACAGTTCTGGTCTTGGGCAAGGCCGTCTGCCCAGCCTCCACCTGCCCCAGCCTGGCTGCAGTGTCCAGCTGCCGCTTAGGCTACCCACCAACCCCAGCCGATCTGTGGCTGAGCTCTGAGCTGACCAGCTGTTCCTGTAGCCGGCTGGCAGCCCAGCACCATCGGCCTGTCCCCAGAACATGCAAGGTTTAAGCAACAGTCTTTCCACTGAACATTTAAGAAGAAAAATATCTTTTTTTTCTAAGACAGAGAAAGGGAGGGAGGAGGAAACTGGCAAGGGAGGAGGAGGGAAGGAGGGAGGGAGAAACCTACCCCATCACTGCAGTCAAGGTCACAGGCACTGGCACAGGGCGGGCTGGGCAAGGAGCCTTTAATCTCGAGTTCAGGCCGAGGAAACTACACGCTTGAAGCCGGAGTACATTACTGCCCTGAATGATCTGTCGGCTTCTATTAGGCTAAATATCTCTGTATAATAGGGAATT